AAAAACATTGGGTGAAATACGTATACTTGGACCACTTTCATCTACCAACTTACGGTGAAACTACGTCGAACCTTGCTGAGCAAGCAAACAATTGGATAGGCAATGAGTGCAGGAGTGCCAAGCCTCTCGACTTGTTCGGGCTTTTTTTCGCACGTTGAGTGATTTGATTTCGGATAAGAGACAAAAAGCAGCTACCTGGCTAAGCAAGGGCACAGAAACGGATCTAGTCCCAAAGTTAAGCTGCAAACTCTCCGAACTCTTGAAAGAGGCCTCAAAATGCGAGGTTAAACCGTGCTTGGCTGGATCTTACAACGTCCTGTATCTTGGCCCTACTGCCGAAGAAGGATATGCCCACCCCTGGCGGTTAGTGGATTTACCGGCCTTAGCGTGTACCTGTGGAAACTGGCAAGACTTGAAATTTCCCTGTGTGCACGCTTGCGCTGCCGCCATAAAAGAAGGACAATCGCTGGATACTCTGTACAACAGTGAGCGAATGTCAATTGGCCACTTTAAAGAAACTTACCACTACCCTTTCAAGCCATGGCCGACGGATGGTATCTTAACGAAAGACACGACATTGATTGTAACGCCGCTTCAAGTGACTTCGCGCGAGGGCGGAAAGCGAGGCTTGAAACCTGGCCCTCCAGCAAATCACAAGAGGAAAAAGTCAAAAGGAGGTGACTAGTTGGGTGCAGAGGGTAAATAACTTCATCTACCTACATATTGAATATACTTATCTTTTTAGCTCCTTTTGTTGAGATTCTTATTGTTAAAAATGCAATGACACCTTGTACAACGTGCACTTTATAAACCAGCAAAGATGGTTTTTTTTTTAATTATAATACACTTGCACAAAAGAGGATTTATTATTCCGTCATTTTTTAACCCACTTTTCTATTTAGTAGTGAGTTTTATAATGAACCGTAACAACCACGAGCAGTAAATGCGCGCTTTGGGCTCTTTCATGAAAAGATGGACATGTAAAACAACATTAATCGACACATATTGACCTGTAAAATATGTGTTTAACTTCATTGAAGGATTCTGACCAGAATTCGACACGCCTATGGATATGTATTAATAGTATTATTGTGCACAATCATCTGATACTGCAAACAATACTATTTTCTGCCCACTTTAACTCAAGTCTATAACTTGAGTCCAGTCCAGTTGCGCCAGGCTCTTCGCGGACGCCAGATTGTCGTTAAATGAATTATATCGCTGCTCGCTTGGGATCCTCGTCTGCGGATTCGCCCATTGATTCATCTTCGTCTTCATTGTCGACAAACCCCCAAAGACCAACTTTATCAAGCTCCCTCTTAATGGAGTACACCTTGCTCGACTGTCTACTTGCCTCCTTTCGCTTAGCTTTTTGTAGTCCAACAGCTTTTGGACCGCATCCTCGTTTGCGCAAGAGATGGTTTTTCAGCTTCGTATGGGAGCTGAATATCGTCTTGCATCTGTAGCAAGTCTTAGATTTACGTTGTTTTGGACGGCCAGCTTTCGGTTTTGATGGAGTACGGAGGACGGGTGCCATGGTCGAGAGAAAAAATGAATATGAAAGAAGTAAGGGCAGATAATGAGGGTTGCCACACCATGTCCAGTAGTTTGCAAAACGATAAATTTATCATTAGTACTATTACGAGCACTGTTGGATTACAATAGTAACGCGCGTGAAAAGTACTGATCAGTACTTTCGCATTTCTCATCACGATTCATAAATCTCAGTTGTTTTTACTGAGTTATGGAAATTTCTCGTCAGATTGGCCAAAACTTTGGAAAGGCACAATAAATCATACCAGTGATACAGATGGCTGATGAAGCACTGGAATAAATGGGAGTTGATATCAACACCACGTAAATCGCTACCAACACCATGTAAATCGCTATCAACACCACGCACGGTACAGTGTACTGTAATTTTGGTACAAAACGTTTAGAGAGAACTTCGTCAAGTCCGTTGCCAAGGTATTACACCAAATGAATTGTCAATCGATACACCGTCGTAGAGAAATAACTACTCGTACACTAAGCGCTATCAAGACTTGTGCGTTTGGCGACGTGCTGGGGAGAGGTACAGGTAGAGAAGTACTGGGTCCATTTTCCAGAATATTAGCTGATTGAAGACAGCAATACTATATTTTCAAATGTGCATTAAAAATATAAATTGTAGTGTGTTATATATAGCGTACAACACATTGTCGCGAGGCAGTCCAAGCAAAAATATGATCAGTTTCGAAACCCCCGCACATTCGAAGTAAATCCAAAACCTCTTTGCTGAACGTTGCGTTTTCATTCTGGGATTGGCCTCCCCCTAGCGCTGTGCACGACCCCAGACGACAACTCGTTCCGACGTAATGGAACCCGTCGACATCACCAAACTCGAACTTCAAGATGAGAACTTGACGTGGGAGATAGATGTCCACGCTGAAGCCTCATTTTCAAGTCGAGCGGAAGCTCAAAATGCAGCAAATGCTTCAGCAAAAGCGGTTGGGTACGGCCTCGTCGTTAAATGCTCGTACCAAGACGCTAACAAAAATACCAGGAGAGTAATTTTTGCCTGTGATCGCCACGAACAACGTCGAACTCACAACATATCTCGCGCTGGTAGTCGTCGCCAACCCAATTCTGCAAGTCGACGTTGCGGATGCAAGATGAAGATTGATATAGTCAGAAGAACCGACGACGAGGTGTCGCAACGTGGCATATTATTCACGGCCCCAGCTCCACTACACATAACCACCCTCCGTCTAAGGAAGTTTCCTCTCATCCAGTTCATCGTCGATCGGAACTAAGCGACGAAATTCGCAGTCATGTCGTAGTGCAATCGCAGACAGGAGTTCGCGCCGCTCAGACCCTGGCAGCTCTGCGTTCGGATGGGTCTGGGACTAATCTCCTTGCTAGAGATATCTACAACGCTAGTCATTCAGCCACCATTTCGTCTCTTGGTTGTCTCTCAAGGATAGAGGCTCTTTTCAAGCAGTTATCAGGCGATGATTTCTTCTTTGATGAGTTACGCGACGCGGCAGGGCATGTTACACATCTTTTCATGGCGTTTCGGGGGGTCATTGCTATTTACAAGGAAAACCCTCACGTGTTGCTCATGGATTGCACGTACAAAACAAACCGATACAACATGCCCTTATTGAACATTGTGGGCGTGACGGGGATGCATACTACAGTGCACGTGGCTCAGGTGTTTCTTGTTGGAGAAACAGGGACGGATTTTGCTTGGTCGCTGCGGACACTGAAGCGAATGATGGAAGAAAACGGCATTGAACACCCTCAAATATTTTTTTTCAGATCGGGACGAAGCACTATTGAATTCCTTAGAGATCGTATTCCCGGACTGCCCTTCACTTTTGAGTCTTTGGCACATTGTTAAGGACGTCGAGACTCATGCACGGCAACACAGATTCCCTCGAGGCCTCGACACAGAAATATCAACAGACCGCACACCGAAGTGGAAGGACTCGGAGCAACACCGGGAATTTTGTAATGCTTTTTTGGATCTTGTACGTGCTCGTAACGAATCGGAATACAAGGACCGTCGAGCGTATTTATATCGGCTGTCTCACGAGGAAGCTACTCACATCGACACGGTTTGGCTCGACATTTGGAAGCGGCGAATAGTTAGATGCTGGACCAATGATGTCGTACACTTTGGACTTCAAGCAACCTCACGAGTTGAAGGATACCATGCCAACCTGAAGAAATGGCTCGGAAGCTCGCGTTCGGATATTCTCACCATGTTGAATTTGATGCGTCACTGGTGGAACCAGTCCATCCACCAGCATAAGGCCATGATTTCGGATTCTCAAGTAAAATTGCAGAACCGACTACGCAGGAAGCTGTTTGCTGGTGTCGTTCGTAAAATTCATGTGCATGCGCTGAAGTGCTGTTTGTCTCAACTTCAAACTATTAGCCGAAGTCTATGCACTGGAGTCTACTCAAAAACTACTGGGTTGCCGTGCTTTCATAAGCTACTGGAAATTGAAGAGGCAAATGGAACGCTAACACCGCAGGATTTCCACGCTCATTGGTGGATTACTTATCAAGATGCCCCACGAGCTCCGGCCCCAATTATTCTTGAACCGGAGACAATTGCCTCGAGAAGACAGGAGAGACGACGAATTAAAAAGGCGCGGAAGCAGGGAGCTGGAGTAAATGGAACAAGGAGAGATCCAAGTCGCTTTGAGTTATCACAAACAACTAATATGGTATTACCTACGATGGCGGCGGCTTTACAAACTGCTTCCACCCCAAAACACCGTTTTTTGCAAATGCAGTTTAACGCTATTAACTGAGAGATTGATGCCGACGTCATAGGTATTCCGATCTTAAATACATCTAATAAAACACTACAATTTATCTTTTTAACCCTTTCGTGGTCAGCCCCCTTTCATCATTTTTTGTGAGTTGGACGAGGCGGATTCGCCCTTTCTACTTGAACTACAACGATTTGCAGAAGATTTGCTGTAGTACCGTAGTTTATGCAAGGGGGCAAAATGCCCCCTTTGATGGCCTAATGACTTGACCTTCTATACTTTAATATAGCCAGGTCAAAAGTACCCGTTCGCGAAAGGGTTAATGCACATTTGAAAATATAGTATTGCTGTCTTCAATCAGCTAATATTCTGGAAAATGGACCCAGTACTTCTCTACCTGTACCTCTCCCCAGCACGTCGCCAAACGCACAAGTCTTGATAGCGCTTAGTGTACGAGTAGTTATTTCTCTACGACGGTGTATCGATTGACAATTCATTTGGTGTAATACCTTGGCAACGGACTTGACGAAGTTCTCTCTAAACGTTTTGTACCAAAATTACA